GAAGTCATGGAGCTTCTCACAAACGTCAGCAATGATTACTCTCGCTATTTCAATCAAGTTTTTTGGTAAAAAGAAAATTAGTAATAGAAAGCGGGAAGAGAAGTAGAAATATTAATTGCCTCGATGTGTAGTAATGGAGCATCGGTTTTTAGCCTTTCCCCTATATAATGTCATTGAGCAATTATCCCAATAGTCTTATTGTTCAGCTCACATTTCGAGAAACGATGGCAGATTTTTTCAACAACTGCACTTGGTATACAAATGAAACATCGAGGAGGTAAGTTCTTACTGACTCAAAATTAGTTTCATTCTCGTATGTAAAGCTCTATCGGCTTCCTTTTCACTTAAAAATTCATCATTTTCTATTACATGGCCTTTCAAGTACTATTACTACCCAAAATCCTCTTCAGATGCTCTGAACACCTCATCCAGCATTGGACCGGTGATGGAGCTGTAACTATTTTTACATCACTGATCACTTACTATTTCGTCTACGTAAGCTGCAAAAAATAGATGGTATAGGTGAAATAGTTGAGTCAAAGATAATTTCAGTTTTTACTGGTTGCAATCTGCATCTCGATCAACGTTCCCGCCGGTGTTTTTGTGCCATCATTTGTTATAGGAGCTGCAGGAGGAAGACTTGGTAAGTTGGGATCAGAGATTTCGTTGTTCCAAGTGCAGTGAACAATGACATCACTACGAGAGTGCAAATTGATATTAATTTGTTTAGTTGGCGAAATCATGGTGTTCCTATTTCCTGAGGGCATGCGTGGACCAGGAGGGCCACCGATATATCCTGGGCTCTATGCTGTCGTCGGTAAGAGTGTTTTAATCTAATTTTGCCTATCAAATAAAACTTAAAATTGATCGTTTTGGTGGCAAAGCAAGCTGAAACTTGATTTCTGTGTTTAAAGAATTCTTGAGCTAGTTGCAATACGTAATGGAGAATAAATCTCAGTCAGCCATGGAAAAACAGTTGATTTTGATGTTTCAGCAAGATAGTAGCAGGATTATTATCGATGTATCTTGAGGAGTTACATAAGTTGCCTAAGTAGGCCGGCTGCATCAAACAAGACTCTGAGGATGGGGGAGACTAGAATGACGAAACAAATTACTTTTACATTGTAGTTAATCGAAATTCCATGCGCACGTTAGCAAAAAGACAATTTTTTTTCAATGAGGTTACGCTAGAAAATCGTTCAACAAGTTTTTTGGATAAGCATCTGTATGATAAGCAAAGAAAGAATTACAATGCAACAGTCCCAGTGTGTTACCTTATGATATGCACGACAGTCAGAAGGATAATCTAGCTTATGCCCTCAGTGTGCATTAGTTCTGCATTAGATTCATTGAGTTCTCAGATAGATGAAGAAGCAACTTTACTTTGCAAGATATTAGGTTGAGTCAAAAGTAATGAGAACTTTTCGCTTC